TTTTTATTAAAAATAATTCCGGATATTATCTTTTCTGCAAATTCACAAAGTATGTTATTGTATTCGTTTTAGGTGTGTGTGTTTGAACTGTCACCATTTTGAAGGAACGTACAGAGTGTAAGGATGTTTTTTTGTTTTTTTGTTTTTTGAATTTTCGCGCAAAGCTACACGAGGGCTATCTACGCTAACCGTCCCTAATTTAGCAGTGTAAGACTAAAGGGAAGGCAGCTAGTCATCACCACCCACCGCCAACTCTTGGGCTACTCTTTTACCAACGAATAGTGGGATTGTCCGTCACATTATAACGCCCTCACGGCTGAAAGGGCGAGCATGTTTGGTGAGTCGGGGATTCGAACTCGAGACCCGCAGATTGCTAGTCGAGCGCCCTAACCACCTGGCCATGCTGGGCCATAGGGTGTTTTTGAAGGGGTGGGAAACGCAAATCGTACACCACCTCCCACACTACTAATTTGCTGAATTCTTGATAATTGATCTTGAATTTTGTAGAATGATGTGAACCACGTCAAGTAATTTCAAAATGACGGCCGAATGTGGCTGCTGCAGACAGATAGTTGATCAATTCGAACTTGACTGTGTTGAGTTGCGTCACTGTGAAGTATGACAAGTTTTTAATTGTCATGGCTGTGTTATATAAGCTATAGGAGAGATTTATCTGTGAAGCGTCTGCATTTCAAGATAACCACGAATATCAAACGTTACTAATTAAACAACGTTACAAGTGTAATGGCAAAGCTTGTTTGGTCGGTACACCAACGTGATAAAACTCCCTGCCACAAAACATCTGCGACTCGTGACTGGTTTTAAAGTAACACGATCAACATATTGGAGTGACACGCTGAAAAATTAGATGAGTTGCACAGAAAAAGTTTAGGATCGACTTCAGTGTTGCAGTCACCAACAAATGGTGTTAGTTCTTTGTTACGTCAGTCAGACATCTGATGATCAGTCATGAGGTGTGAAACGCAAATGATTAGACACTCAACCTATCTAACCTATATAAAATCCAGTGTGTGTCACGTCACGCTTGATCCCTCTTGATTTCTCGAAATAGGAAGAATCATAAAAGCCAAAAATACATTTATCCAGATAGAATAGTTCGATTACTTTAAGCCCATTACGATTTTAGTGACGGGGGTGCAAGGGGGCCATGAGGGGAGGGGTGCAATGAAACCTTATAAGTGTAGTGAGTGTGGGATCACCCAGCCTAGAGACAAGTGCATAAAATTTATCATGAAAGTAAAAATATCGATTCAATTTTAAACTTAAATCTGAATTAACCTATTTTATTTTATATCACCAACGTTTTTAATGAAAAACATACCTCTTTAAAAATGGAGATCGAAGTTAAGAAATCAACAAATATTTTTCCGGTTTTGTTGTCTATACATTTCATTTTATACTTTCAGTACACGGAATAACAACAAAAAATATCAGGTTATTCTTTTGTTGCTGAGCAACCTGACATAAAAGCCAATATTGGAACGTTGTGTTACCAAAACGCACTGGCTTTTCTATATATTAGAAGTTGTTAATCTAACTGATTTTTACCAATAATTATTCTATGAATACGCCACGAATTCATTTCTTGAATGATCATAATTTTTGATTGGCTCACAAAGAAATTTTTCTGCCTTTTCGTTGGTCAATCTTGGTTTCGCATAATTTATCTATTTCAGTTAACTATGAAATATGAGATTAGAGTATACTATGGGGTGGGGTGGTAGTACTTGTCCCGTCATTCTTGACGGGCTATACGTTAATGTTATATATAATAGTCTCAGCTATCATGTTTTAGTGAAATAACAGTGACTAAAGTGTTCCAAATTGTTCATGAGCCATGGATGGCATTCAGGTGTTTTAGTCATGTTGAGAGCTATTCAACGCAGATTGCCCTAACTTAGTTACACATGTCTGAAAGTGTCTGATAACAGAATGTGAAACCGTAACTCACATAACTGAATAAAGTAAACCATCATTCACAGCTCATTGTAGCTGTTGATTTTAGCTCGATTCATTTATAGAATGTTAGTGTTCAGAAGGTTAAAAATAGAATTCAAAAAATGACCTGTATACCACACACCCAAGGAGGTGCATGTCGCTGTAATGAACCAAAGCACGTCCAGTGGATCAATGAATGACGTTATTTGGCGGTGATGAAGGTATGGTGTGAGCAGGAAAAGCACTGGTGGACGTACCTGTACCTACCTTTACATCCTGCGGAACAGTACAAGTAATGCTACACATCAAAGAAATCGCAGTCTACAAACCCCGAGCTTTCACGTACAATTAGTTTCTGCCTTTAGTCCAAAGAAAGATAATACCCCCCGCCCCAAACTGTAAAATTGATCAGACACATTTCTTGAAGAAAAGGGACTGGCGAAATACAGTGGTAATTTTCGAACATGTATGGTTACTGTCGAAAAACACGTAATACCTCACTAAGTAGCTCTAGATTATAATAATTCATGGAACAAGATCTTTCAAATGAGGGATCAAGGATACCATTGGACTTTGGTTTAAGCACACAGTATCAGCGGCAGGCTGCCCCTATTCTACATAGAAGTGAAATGTCATGGATATAAAACCACCTCTACCGGAAGTTTATTTAGGAGCTTATAAGAACAATGCTTAATTTGCATAAAAAATAACTTAAGAGTGTTATTGACATGATCTTATAAAAGCGGTTTTGCCTTGCAAGACTAAAATATTACAAGTTCCATTTTCCTTTAATAGATTATTTCGTGCATCGTAGATCAAGTTAGAGCATGTTTCAAAGGAAAGCCGTGGTTATTCCGATCATAAAGTGGATTACATCTTATTAGATCAGTAACTAATAGGTCTTCCCAATACTAGACAGATAGACAGTGCATAACTTAAAACGATAAATAAGGAATTTCCACTTTTTGTATGGAACAAAAACAATCCTAAAGAGGTATTTTCAGAAACAAACAAAGCAAAAACAAATCTATCCTGACTAGACCAATGTGTGTAATGCGTGTTTGTTTGTTTTTAAGTATGCACAAAGCTACACAAGGGCTATCTGTGCTCTGCCCACCACGGGTATCGAAACCCGGTTTCTAGCGTTGTAAGTCCGCAGACATACCGCTGTGCCACTTGGGGGCATTGTGTGTAATGCAGAAAATAAGGATTTTGAAAACTATTATAATTGTAGATAAAGAGCGTTTTGTTATTTAATACATTGTTATCTCTTATGAATTAGATCTATATTTTCCCCTCAAAACCACCCATAAGTTAGTTGGGTCATTATACTAACCCTCAACACCATCCATTTATCTAAGTATGAATACCAAGCTAGTTGGGTCATTAGATTAACCCTCAACATCACCCATTTATCTAAGTATGAATACCAAGCTATTTGGGTCATTAGACTAACCCCCAACACCACCCATTTGTCTAAGTATGAATACCAAGTTAGTTGGGTCATTATACTAACCCTCAACACCACCCATTTGTCTAAGTATGAAAACCAAGTTAGTTGGGTCATTATACTAACCCTCAACATCACCCATTTATCTAAATATGAAGACCAAGCTAGTTGGGTCATTAGACTAACCCTCAACACCACCCATTTATCTAAGTATGAAGTCCAAGCTAGTTGGGTCATTATACTAATCCTCAACACCACCCATTTATCGAAGTATGAAGACCAAGTTAGTTGGGTCATTATATTAATCCTTAACACCGCTCATTCGTCTAAATATGAAGATCAAGTTAGTTGTGTCATTATACTAATTTTCAACACCGCTTATTCGTCTAAGTATGAAGACCAAGCTAGTTGGGTCATTATACTAACCCTCAACGCCACCCATTCGTCTAATTATAAAGGTTAGTTAACTAATTATACCATGGACTCGTTGCCGTTTTTTGAAAAACTTTAACAAGTGGTTGCTTGTAAAGAGACAATAATAGTCAAGTTATGAATGAATGGTGCAGCTAATATCGATTTACGACAACCTTCTCGAGGATATAGACACTCTCAAAGCTTGTTACACGATAAACATTTATGTATATTTTGCACGAAACCTGGAGGCGGTAACAGCAAAATATTGTAAGTTGTTGCCTGCAGAACAAATATGCATAGACAAAGTTAATGCTTTCAATGGTCCTCATACAAGATGAAGAAATACGGAAACACATTTTTAATTTCATCATGAGTGTCATGATCCCTTCGCCAGAAGAGTTAGGTACCTTGAAACATATTGGGATGAGTATATATAAGCCTGCAGAAAATAATCTTTTTATCATTTATACCTCCAGAAAGCTAGAAAATAGGACGTTTCAGAGTTGTTCATTAAGCACGTACGAGAATATATAATTGAGAATAACAAACCAAGGACACCCACAGGGCTATTATAATATTATAACGATCTTTTTTTTTAGCAACTTTACCTTTAACAGTTGTAAAAAAAAATGCAGTTCTAAGAAACTTAATGAAAACTAATTTTAACAATGATCAAGGCTACCTTCCATACACGGTTTCATAAGGATCAAAATACCATTGTGTATGACTCTTGACGCAGAGGACGTGCATAGAAACAATACATGCAGGACTCTAGTTTGTCTTAAGTGATTTACGTATTTGACATAGAGAAAATTTGAGGCATTTATGGTATTTACAGGTTTTTTTTCTAAGTGTGCTAAGACTACTCAGCATTATCAGAAATACCATACAAGGTGACAAATCCCGGTAACATAGTTTGTATTTTAAAGTACACGTCAACTCCGTGGCGGACATTTTAAATAACACCTCTTATCTGATGTTGCTCATCCAAATTGCAGGGACATTTTCGAGCATAATTCAAAGTATAAGAATCCACCTTCAAAACAAGTTCTGCAAAAAAAAAAAAAAAAAAAAGACATACGTATTCT